AGAATCGAGGACTGGCTGGCAAGAGTGAGAGATTGGAAGTTGAGGAAAGTGTTAAGGGGAGAGGACGGTGGGTGAAGTTCTCAGGAAAGACTCGTAGTTACATCTCATTGGTGCATAACCGTAGCAGCACAAATTCTGCAAGCTGTGGGAAAGGGGAAGCAGGAAGCGGTGCCAGGGTCCAGGTTGGGATGTTGGAATCACTCACATTTTTCCTTTCTGTTACATATTGGGGAGGAATGGCAGGCTCCTCGCCCTGCAAAAGAAACTGGTTAATGATTTGGTTAGAAGAAATTCATACATTTGAGTGGATGACACAGGAATGGAGGGAGGGGTTACTTATCAAAATGACGGCTTGATTTCCTCCTGAAGCTCACCGGAATATGTAGTCTCTGAGGGTTGGTCTTGAGGAGCTTCTTTGGGGTGCCTCTATGGTGATGCATGGATCATCACAGCAGGTGTTGACCTTCTGTGCAGATTCCACATTCTGGCCATTCTTGGATGGAGAGTCCATTTGACTTAGGCAGAGAACTGGGAACACTTTTACTCAGCCCCGATATCGCGGCTTTATGTTGTATGGAATTAGTGGGGAAGCTTAGGCAGGAACATGTATGACAGCTGGTTAAGATTATCTAGTGAGACCTTGAGAAACAAGACAGGATGTATAGTCTGGCCTGCTTTTAGTCTTGTATTCTTTCCCTCCCTCTGCTCATGGGGACTCTGGCTGCTAGCAGGAGCTAAGTCAGGGCCTATGGTAAGGCCAGCGCTCCAGTAGACAGTGGCCTTCAAAGTTACAGTGTTAGCTAGTAAAAACCGTTTCTAAGGTCTTACATACACGAACTCTGGAGTTTCAGATAAGGTCAGGACCATCCATCTCTTCACATAGAGTACTGGAAGAGACATCATAAAGGAAGTGTGAAACTGTGGAGGCATCCCATTGACTCCCATTACCTGGCTGGACAGAGAGGAGAGCCGGCCTGAAAGAGAGGTTGGTACAGAACAGATGGTGTCTCTGGACAGAATATACAGCTTTACCTGTGATGTTGCTGACCCCAGGCCATCCCTCCATAGCGACAGATGCTTTGGGAGCTGGGCAGAGTGAAGGGCTTTCTAGCTTGTGGCCCACCATGGTTCTGACCCAGGAATACTTTGACCCCCAGGGCAGTCCCATTTCTAGTGGCCTGGCTCTTGGCAGAGCTAACAAGACTCTTTGAAAGCCACTTCTATCACTGCAGCTGGTTGCCCAATATTCTGGCGTCCCATATCACAAGCAGGTGCTACTTGAGGGTAGACTAGCCTTACTGGGTCTCCTAGAGAACAGGTTACTGTATAAAGCCACATTAATGAGCCTCCTGATGCCTAGCTCACTACTCTTCCTCTGGGTCCTGGTTAAAGTGGGCCACAGAGGCAACCACGGGATGTCAGCCAAAGGGATGCTCAATTCTATCCCTGAATGCCTTAATGGGCTGATCTAGGAATTTGTAGTTACAGGCATAGTCCTGATAGTTTTAGGGTAATGCCTATGAGAAGATAATTAGGCTGCTTGGTCTGACAAGTTAGCCATCCCTATAAAGGGTCTGGAAATCAAACTGTGCAGCCTGAGTCCCTCAGTGAGAGAGAGAGAGAGAGAGAGAGAGAGAGATGAAGAAAGTAGTTGGAAGCATCAGATTAATTACCATCAAGTAAAAACTCTCAAATAGAAGTTCTAGAAAGCATTTGCCAAAGGTCTGATGTCCGCTACAAATTTGAGACAAGCACAGCTTTACAATTAGCTTAAATTGCACATTAGAAAAAGCAATAATATCAGTGATATTTAGAAAAATGCTATAGGCAATTTAAAGGACAATGATAAATTACATTGCACATAAACCATACAAGCTGTATTCCTCTCAAAACTTTCATGACTTCCCATTCCTTCTACGACATGCTTTAACCTGGAAATACTCTATAAAACAATTGGTAAGAGCACATGAGTTTACCTCATGGCTTGGAATAACTTAGCAGTGGATTAGAGCAACTCTATACTGGATTATTTTGATATACAAATGTTAAATTAAGTTACAGAACAACTTAGCAAATTACAGTTTTGTTCTTTTGGTAGATGTTAATTAGCTTATCTTCTTATCCCACCCATCTTAGATAAGGGGTGGGGGTAGGCATGACGAAAGGAAAAAAAGAGTTAAAAGCAGTTGCTGCAGCAGCAGCAGGGAATCAGGCATTATTGGGGTTAAGTCAGAACCAAAGAGGGAGAGCAGGTTAGGTTGAGGGTGAGAATGGAGAAAGGCAAGATGGCAGATAGGGACCTGCCACATGAAGGAAGGCAAGATGGTGGACAGGGTCCCATCAGGTGGAGGAGAAAGGCAAGATGGTGGATGGGGTCCTACCACATGGAGGAGTGGGAGGGGAGCTGGGAAGATGGCGTCAGAGCAGGAAGTGGAGAGGGGGGCTTGGGAACATGGTACCTGCGCAGGAAGTGAAGGATCCGAAGGAGGAAGGTTCTGAGAGGGGGAGAGCGAACTGGGGTAAATGTGAGGTAGAGGTCAGAGAGGTCCTTGGGCAGGGACAGGGACCTTCTGTGCAGCAAGGATGTCCACTCAGAGGGAAAAAGGAGGAACAAAGAGAATGATGGGGTTAGGTGGAATTAGGTGGGGCAAGATAAGGGAGTAGATAGAATAAGGGAGGGGTGGGAACATAGCAAAGAAACAGAAGGTGAAGCAAAAGTGACACTGGAATCCAGTGGCTACTCAGGAAGTGAAGGAGTCTGGAAACATGACAGAAGGACTGGGAGCGTAGAAGAGGTGACCAAAGAGGAGGTGACCTTGGGGAACATGGCACAGGGACTGGAGGAGTAACGTACAAGGTGGATGGGCCAAAGGCTTCGAGAGAGACGAAAGTGCAGGTAAAGAGTCTGGCAGAGAAGCAGATGGGGAAGAAGTGGGGGCTGGGTGGGGTCCTAAAAGTTCTGGCGGCTCAGAAAAGGTAATGGTTAGGTGAAAAGTCTAAGAGATCCTTGGGAGAGTGGGAGGGCTTAGCCTTGGCCAGGAGAATCTGAGTCGTGGAACAGGAGGAACATAGGGAAGGGCAGGAACGGAGTTTCCAAAAAGCTTCCACATAACAAACTTAAGACCATTTACCCTCGCGATGACAGAAATTACCCAATTCCGTGAGGATCTGAAAATCAAACGTGCCTTCCGCTGGCCATTTGGAGCCATTGTCCAACACGTACTGTGGCCAGGCCACGGTTGAAAATGGACAAGGCATTTTCTGCGTAAGTCCAGGCCCAGACCCATGGTTTTAAAATTGGCCAATAAACACCTTAAGGGGGTATGGGGGCCATGGGCTCAGGACATTTTGTTTCCCGTCCTGTCCCGATAAAGTATCTCGCGGCTAATCTAAACACAAAGAAGGCGTCCCCGCTTTGAAATTCAGACTAGAGGGGAACCTGGTTCCCCGTTAAGGAGGGCCAGTCAGTAGGGGGGACGTCTCCCACCCCACTGAGGGCCCTGGATAGGTAGGAGCCGGTCAACGACCAGGGCGTCCCCCGTCTCACTGAGGGCTCAGGACAGGCAGACCACGTGTACACGGTTTGGGGGGTCTGCAGGAGGTTGGGGGAGTACTTTTTGGGACAGGAGGAGCAGGGCGGAGGGGCTTACCTCACGTCTGTCGCTTCGCAGCCGGCAAAGGCCTTGGGGCTGGCGGCTAGAGGTGGAAAGAGGAAGGGGGGAGCTCAACCAGTTTAGGGAGCCCACGCATCCCTTCCCGGGTTTCGGCACCAAATGTTAGATGATGGCCACCGACCGCCCGCCCGCTTGGTGAAATAATATCGGCAAGTTGTTCAGAGTTGAGATGGAAGCTTTATTGGAAAATCCGCTCCTGGGCCCCCTTCGCGCAGAGGGGAAGGAAGAGGGAAGCAAAAAGGGCCTCTCAGACACGTGTCTGGGAGTTTTATACCCATCTACACACGTGGGAGGGCAAAGGGGCTGTCTGTGTCCCAACTATGCAAGGAATGTCCATTCAGGTGTGCCATTGGTCAACTGGAATCCCGCCAGGTAGGTGACGTAACTGGCTCCTGTGGCCCCTCCTCCTGTGGGGCAGGGCAGACCCGCCCCTAGTCTCCAGTGCCCTGGGCAGCCATCACTCAGCAGAGCAGAGAAGCCACAGAGCACATGTGGTCTCGATGGTCCCACGAGGTGATATGGAAGCCACTAGGGGACTTCAAGGGGATGAGCCCCATCAAGCCCCTAGTCCACCAGCCTTGAGATATGTGGAGCCAGTGTCCAAATCAGGCCAGGGCAGCAGGGTGAGGTGGTAGATCTCAGAGTTAGATGTATGCTGCTGCTGTCCTCAAGTTTTGCCGGAAGACTTGGGGCAGGGCATAACAGAAAAGCAAGTGCTGAGTCACTTCCAGGGGAGCTGACAAAAACAGGAGCTATTGTTTCAGGGAAAGCAGCTGCCCCTGTGAAAATCAGGTCCCACCTCTTGCCAGAGCTCTTTCAGTTACCCGAGCCTTCCTTGTGATATTCATGATTCTTCCTCTTGTGCCTGTCAAGCTCTTACTGGACTGTGGGGTTTATGAAGTAACCATAATTTCATAAACCAGATTATTTGCCAGGTCATTTCATCCCCTGGTCTACTGAGCAGTAACTGGCATAGGATAGTTTCTCAAGAGTGCAGTCAAATTCAGACAAGTGAATAGAATATGCAGTGGAGAGCATGTCCAAGATGCAGAAATCCAAGCAAGCGCGTGGGGTCAGGTGATCAGATGAAGACTTCCTGAGCTGAACACTTTAAACGGCAGGTTGAAATGAACTATTGTGAGCTGATTTTACCAGATTATTATAAATTGTGATACTCAGGCCCAACCTCTTCTAAACTGAAGATTTCATTTACTGACATCCAAAAGATCGCAAACACAACTCAGGGGTATCCTTCTGCTGGAGCCGTGAGCATACATTGTGCATCACGCAAGAGATGTTCCACAGAACAAATAATATCATACTTACATATCCATATTCCAAGTCCCAGCACCAGCAATAATTGCAAAACCTCACAAAACATGCCCTTAGGAAGTCCCCGATGAGGATGGTGACGTAAGTGGTTAGAACATCAGAAACCGTGAGCCGCACGAATTCCTGTTGAGATATTCTCGGTATTAAAAACATGCACTTCTGTTTTCAAGTTCTCCTGGCATTGGCACAATATGTGCCATGTTTTGTAAACCTTTTCGGCTAATGATTGGGATTACTGGTAGAAGAGAAAGGCAAAAAAGGCATAACTATCAAATGAAAAATGTGTCAACTCTGTGATTAGCACAGAAGTAATGACTGCTCATTCCCAGATCACTGTCTAAAAGTCTTCCCACTCAGGAACTTTTCCTAGCATCACACAAAAATACGTTTAAAAGGCAATTTCCATTACTCTGAACTATCTGGCATTGACGTGTTTTGAAGCTGCTCCAATGCAGGGTAGGCCTTTGGCCTAGCAGTTAAGATGCCTGCATGCTGATTCTTTCTCTCTCTCTCTCTCTCTCTCTCTCTCTCTCTCTCTCTCGGCTTATTTATCTTTATTGAAGGCTAGACTTATACAGAGAGAAGGAGAGACAGAAAGATCTTCCATCTGCTGGTTCACTCCCCAAATGACTGCAATGGCCAGAGCTAAGCCAGTCTGAAGCCAGGAGCCTGGGGCTTCTTTTGGGTCTCCCATGCAGGTGCATGGTCCCAAGACTTTGGGTCTTCTTCTACTGCTTTCCCAGGCTACAAGCAGGGAATTGAATGGGAAGTGGAGCATCCAGGACATGAACAGGTGCCCATATGGAATCCCAGCAGATGCAAGGCAGGGATTAAGCACTAGGCCATTGCACTAGGTAGGCCCCAACTGTTGTTTCAGCCTCAAGTTTCCTGTTTATTCAGAAGTTCAGAACCCCAACAAGGGTTGAGGCATTCCCCAGAAAGCTCAGTTGGATTCTGGGGTTCCAGCATCGGCTGGCCCAGTACTGGACATTTGGATAGTGAACTCACAGAGAGCTCTTTGACTCTCAAATAAGAATTTTCACAAAACGCAAAAGTTCAAGACCCTAATAAGAAGATTTAAGCTTTTAAAATTTTTCAAAATGGAATGGGGGCGGGCCCGGCGCGGTGGCGCAAGTGGTTAAAGGTCCTCGCCTTGCACGCCCGGGATCCCATATGGGCGCCGGCTCTAATCCCGGCAGCCCCGCTTCCCTTCCAGCTCCCTGCTTGTGGCCTGGGAAGGCAGTCGAGGATGGCCCAAAGCTTTGGGAACCTGCACCCGCGTGGGAGACCCGGAAGAGGCTCCTGGCTTCGGATCGGCATAGTATCGGCCCGTTGCGCTCACTTGGGGAATGAATCATCGGATGGAAGATCTTCCTCTCTCTCTCTCCTCTCTGTATATCCGCCTTTCCAATAGAAAAATAATAAAAAAATAAATCTTTAAAAAAAAAATGGAATGAGGGCAGGATTACAATTGATAGGATAGCATTTGTATGAGAACAACTGAATGGATACCATTTGTATAACTTACCTAATAAATCTTAGTTATTTTTTTAATTAATGAGCAATAAAAGATTCTCTTACCAGAAAATTATTGGCATTGCTCTATTTAAATTCACTCCCTGCGAGGCACGTCTGTTTGAGGCATTACCTGGCCCACCATTGTTTCCCAGCAGGGTCCCCGAGGTACATCAGCAGGGTGAACAAAAAAGGGGAGTCCAGTGCTGTTCCCAGAGAGAGACGCGTTGTAGGCCTTGATCATGTTGGCTTCCCACAGGGTGATATTGACCTTTACCAGCTTCTCCTCCTCAATCTAGAAAGCAGCGAGGCACACACGGAAATTAAAACAAGAGCTATCCAAAGCATTCTGGGCAATCTTGAGACATGAAATTTGAAGACATGCTTATCACCAAGACAAACCACACATACATTTTACCTTGTTGTTAATCTCATCCATCAAGGCAAGAATAAATACATACAAGTTGCCTAAAAGAAGAGCAAAAATCCGTCCGAGTAGCCACTTGAGAGCAATGAGAGGGTGGTAGTCTTCCAGTTCAGCGAACAGGTCAAACAGCGTCGGGCAGAACATCCCCAGCAGGGACATCACCATGTTCATCTGCAGAGACACAAGCCATGAACCAGGTGACTGGTGTTGACACTTGTCATCGTGTTACTCCAGAAGCTTGGAAGACTCGCGGCTACGTTCTTCTCATGTTTTAGAAGATGGAAGATTATTCCATACGTTCTTACAATTTTATCTCAGCAAAACAGCAGAGATAATATCAACTGTTGTTTTGAAGAAAACGCACACATGAGTTTGTATGAGTACCAGTGATAACTGTTTACTGCCACAGTGAGGGAGGAGGTTTACATCATTATACTGAGAGAACACATATTATCCTGCAGGGTAACCAATTCTGACCGGGTGATACACTTCACAGCAAGATCTCCAAAGGAAATGGAAAATGAACTGCATGAAGATGAGGTACAAATTTAAAAATGCTAATTTGACAGTCATCGGCATATGGAATAGTTTAATCAGTGTACAATGGACTAATTGCCTGGGGTGGGTCTAGGTCTAAATGTCGAAATATGGGAACTCTAGGGAATCTAAACTTTTAGTGGCAGAAACAAAAGGAATGAGTTTTATCCGAAGAAAACAGAAGATGTCATTGAAATAGATAAAGGACAAATAGCTTAATATTATGGAAGCCGAGAAGGTAAAGTTTCAAAAATGAAATATTGGTGCATCAGGACCAAGGCGAGAGAATGATGTGGGCGTGGAAGGTAGCCACATGATAATTAAGAAATGCGTCATCCTTAACTCGGAGCTCCATAACACCCATATGATTTTGTTACCAGGTTAAATTAATTCAAACAATTTAGAACATTTGCAACTTTTATAATGGCAAAAATTATGTGTTTTTTTTTCCCTGATAACTGTCCCAAATGACTGGTACATACTGTCACCACAAAACACTCCCTGTTTTCCTTATGGATTTCACATTTTGAATGAAACATGGTTACATCTACCAGATTATAGCTAGGAAATAATTTCCAATATGTTCTGACTTTTTTTTTCATTCGTATTAAGAACACTATATGACTCACAGGAGCCAAAACTCAGCACGACAGAACATAAAATCAGCATGCTCTAATTCCAGACTAATGGCAGAACTTGTTAGCAATTTGGCAGAGCTTGTGTAACTTTACACAAGAAAAACATAAATTTGGTCTTGCTCTCATCACATCTGTAAAATTATTCATACATCCTCATTATTCTCTTCATTGGCTCCTTGGGACTCAGGGTTCCCTAATAATGAGTGTTAAACAAGTTCTCACAAAGAATGATTCTTTTGATGCTAACAGGAGAATTTTATTATGGTTAATTTATAAAAACACATGATCAATATAAACTCTAGATCCCAGCTGTATGACAATTTTGCCTGCCCATTACACTTGGACAGTTGATGTATATGAAATTCAATTACATAGAGAGGGAGAGGGAGAGACACAGAAAGATAACTTCTAACTCCTATGCACCGACCCGTTTCCCAGATGCCCATAACGCCACACGGATGCTTTAACGGGCCATCAGCAGGGAGCTGGATGAGAAACGCAGCAGCAGGGACATCAAAGTGCTCGTATGGGATGTCAACAACACAGGAAGAGGTTTTGCCTGATACGCTACAGCACCAGACCCTACCTCCTTTCTCTGACCTTCCAAACAGAGAAAAAACATCTAAAGACAAATCACAGGCTTAGTAATTCTCAGAAAAGAACCAGCCTTCCTCATTCATACAGTAACTGCAGGGAGAGGATGCAATTCAAGGAGACAATGAAGGTAAGATAAGGATGGGTTTCTAGTAGACCCCGACCTAGACACAGAGGTGACGCCCTGGAGTGAAAAACTCGGCTCTGCCCACTGGGCTCTCCTGCTGATGAGCGTGGACTCAGATCCTGCTCACAGAGAAAATCACAGGATTACGGTCTGACCTTGCAGTGAATGTATCGGGGCTGGCCTTCTCAGCTGCTGATGTCTGCACAGTGGACAGCATGTCTAGATGCACACGGGGACATGAAACCCAGATGATCTAGGCCAGCAGGGGACATTGACTGCCTCGTCAGAGGAAGGAAAGCAGAACAGGTTGAACAGTTCTCTTGGTCAAGCTTTGCAGCTTGTTCCCCGCCCTGTGGATGCACTAAGGCGGACTTTGTCAACCAACAGATCTTGGAAAGATTTTCTCAACCCTGGAACAGTGAAGCCAACTTCTCAGAACCATCAAAACTACTCAAGTAGCATGCTTGGAACTCGCTTCCCCATATCAGGGTCTCTAAGGCATTATCAAAGGACATCCTTCCTCCCCAGGTGCTGATGTAGGTCAAAAGAAAGAAGCGGTCCCTTCCCCACTTCCCCTGTAGACACAAGAGAAAAAAAAATCAAAACATTTGTCCCACCCACCTTCTTCCATGCCCGACCCTCCCACCCTAATCAGAGTCCTACATGGGCGTGCATCCCAGTCAACTATGTAAACAATATTAAAAAGAAAAATTACAAATTAAAAAAGGAAAAAAAAACTAGAATGGAGAGGAAAATGTGTAGAGGGCTCACTAATTGAAAGGAGGAGATGAGGGGATAGGCAAAGAACGGCCTATGGAACATTTCATCACGGAAGCACAACAGCCAAGGTCAGGTTCTAAGCGCATAAAAAGCACGCAGAGACGAACTTCATTTTTTTCCCACCACCCAAGGGTGTCAGGGTCCTGCTGCGCAAATTCCTGGGATCTCTTCACGGCCCAGAAGATGAGGTATCCACTTGCGCCCAGTGTCAGGAACACAAAGAAGTTAGCAAGAAACCTCAGGAATCTGATCAAGTGCACGTTTTCTTCTACTTGAGCAGCTCTTTCCTCTGTGATGGCTTCCTGCATCCAGGCAGACAAAAAACACAGTGACGACAGCTTAGCCACAGTAGGTGCCATGAGCTCAAGAACGTGACAAATAAAAAGGACACCAAGTTTGGGATTCCATAAACCAGATAAACACTGATAATTAAGGCACATCTTAAAATAAGAGAAAGAATTGTTGCCAACAAACTTTCTCTGCGATACCAGGCCAGTGTTCATTGCAAAGCATATTGTTTTCAAGCACAATGTTTTTTTTGTTTTGTTTTGTTTTTCCATGTGTTTGACTTCGTTTCATGACACAGTTTCATAGGCACTGGGATTCCCCTATCCCTTCCCCGTGCCCTCCCCCCCATGATGGATTCCTCCACATTATTGCAGTTGTACATTTCAAATCCAGTCACGGTTCTTTCATTGCAAGCATGTACCCTGTACAGAGTCCAGCATCTTATTGTCCAAATAAACTCAAGTTTATTTAAACTCAAGTTTCCTTAGGAGACCATCTCTGGTCTGAAAGTAGAGATGGCAGAATATCACCCCGTCCAATGAAAAGCCATAACATAACATCAACAACAGTTTACAACATTATGGAGTTAATTGGCATGGTATTGAGTGACTAATATGTTAGAAAATGGAAGTTCTTAACCACATCCTGTGACTACTTCATTGACATTTCAATTTTAGTTTATACACAACGAGCTGCTCTACGCCTTAAAATGGTTATAGGGTACTATTCAGCTGCCTCATGTCTATTTTCATTTTTATATTTAGCTGTTTATAGTATTGAAGCATAATTTTAACTGAACTTGGCAAATTTTAGGATAGTCCAATCCGGCTTGTAACTCTAACTAGGCATATGTTAACAATTGAGGTACAAAATGTTTTGGAAAGGTATTTCAAATATTGAGCCGATTTCCCTCAATCATCGGTGAACATTGTTCTATTGTTTAAAATATTTATTTCTGATTACTGATGGTCTCCTGTTACAAACAAGTAGCAGTATCTTATTACCAATTTTAAAGAAAATTCCTCAAGGCACAAAAATGCTGCCTTGGATCATCAGATATCTTCCAGTGTTAAACAGATCCGTGCCCAAATCCCAACAGGCAGAAACATTGAGATCATCTTTCCATATAAATAGTGAGCCCAATTGGAATGCCTAAACATTAACTCTTCAATAAAACCAATTTTGAAGTTTGTGTCTTTACCTTAAAGTTCATTGTGATTGAATTAGGGGGCGGGTTAGAGTGTTAAAGAGGGTGAGGGGGCGGGTTAGAGGGTTAGGGGGCGGGTTAGAGGGTTAAAGAGGGTTAGGGGGCGGGTTAGAGGGTTAGGGGGCGGGTTAGAGAGTTAGCGGGCGGTTTGGAGGGTTAGGGGGCGGGTTAGAGGGTTAAAGATGGTTAGGGGGCGGGTTAGAGGGTTAAGGGGAGGGTTAGAGGGTTAAAGAGGGTTAGCTGGCGGGTTAGAGGGTTAGGGGGCGGGTTAGAGTGTTAAAGAGGGTAAGGGGGCGGGTTAGAGGGTTAGGGGGCGGGTTAGAGGTTTAAAGAGGGTTAGGTTGCGGGTGAGAGGGTTAGGGGGCGGTTAGAGGGTTAAAGAGGTTTAGGGGGCGGGGTAGAGGGTTAGGGGGCGGGTTAGAGCATTAAAGAGGGTTAGGGGGCGGGTTAGAGGGTTAGGGGGCTGGTTAGAGTGTTAAAGAGAGTTAGGGGGCGGGTTAGGGGGCGGGTTAGAGGGTTAGGGGGCGGGTTAGAGGGTGAGGGGGCGGGTTAGAGGGTGAGGGGGCGGGTTAGAGAGTTTGGGGGCGGGATAGAGTGTTAGGGGGCGAGTTAGTGGGTTAGGGGGCAGGTTAGAGGGTTAGGGGGCGGGTTAGAGGGCTAGGGGGCGGGTTAGAGGGTTAGGGGGCGGGTTAGAGTGTTAACGGGCGGGTTAGAGGGTTAAACAGGGTTAGGGGGTGGGTTAGAGTGCTGGGGGGGGGTTAGAGGGTTAAAGAGTGCTAGGGGGCGGGTTAGAGGGTTAGGGGGCGGGTTAGAGGGTTAGGGGGAGGCTTAGAGAGTTAGGGGGCGGGTTAGAGCGTTAAAGAGGGTTAGAGGTTTAGGGGGCGGGTTAGAGGGTTAAAGAGGGTTAGGGGTCGTGTTAGAGGGCTAGGGGACGGGTTAGATGGTTAGGGGGCGGGTTAGAGTGTTAAAGAGGGTTAGGGGGCGGGTTAGAGGGTTAGGGGGCGGGTTAGAGGGTTAGTGGGCAGGTTAGAGGGTTAGGGCGCGAGTTAGAGTGTTAGGGGGCGGGTTAGAGGTTTAAAGAGTGTTACGGGACTTGTTAGAGTGTTAGGGGGCGGGTTAGAGGGTTAAAGAGGGTTGGGGGGGTTAGAGGGTTAGGGGGCGGGTTAGAATGTTAAAGAGGTTTAGGGGGCGGGTTGGAGGGTTAGGGGGCGGGTTAGAGGGTTAAAGTGGGTTAGGGAGCGGGTTAGAGGTTTAGGGGGCGGGTTAGAGGGTTAAAGAGGGTTAGGGGGCGGGTTAGAGTGTTAGGGGCGGGTAGAGGTTTAGAGGGTTAGGGGGGGTTAGAGGTTAGGGGCGGGTTAGAGTGTTAAAGAATGTTAGGGAGCGGGTTAGAGGGTTAGGGGGCGGGTTGGAGGGTTAAAGAGGGTTAGGGGGCGGGTTAGAGTGTTAGGGGGCGGGTTAGAGTGATAGGGGGAGGGTTAGAGTGTTAGGGGGAGGGTTAGAGTGTTAGGGGGCGGGTTTAGGGTTAGTGGCCGGGTTAGAGGATTAAAGAGTGTTAGGGTGTGGGTTAGAGGGTTAGGGGGCGGGTTAGAGGGTTAAAGAGGGTTAGGGGGCGGGTTAGAGGGTTAGGGGGCGGGTTAGAGGGATAAAGAGGGTTAGGGGGCGGGTTAGAGGTTTCGGGGGCGGGTTAGAGTGTTAAAGAGGGTTAGGGAGCGTGTGAGAGGGTTAGGGGGCGGGTTAGAGTGTTAAAGAGGGTTAGGGGGCGGGTTAGAGGTTTAGGGGGCGGATAAGAGGGTTAAAGAGGGTTAGGGGGAGTGTTAGAGGTCTAGGGGGCGGGTTAGAGGGTTAAAGAGGGTTAGGTGGCGGGTTAGAGGGTTAGGGGGCGGGTTAGAGAGTTAAAGAGGGTTAGGGGGCGGGTTAGAGTGTTAATGATGGTTAGGGGGCGGGTTAGAGGGTTAGGGGGTGGGTTAGAGCGTTCAAGAGGGTTAGGGGGAGAGTTAGAGGGCTGGGGGGGGTTAGAGGGTTAGGGGGCGGGTTAGAGAGTTAAAGTGGGTTAGGGGGCGGGTTAGAGTGTTAGGGGGCGGTTTAGAGTGTTAGGGGGCGGGTTAGAGAGTTAGGGGGCGGTTTGGAGGGTTAGGGGGCGGGTTAGAGGGTTAAAGATGGTTAGTGGTCGGGTTAGAGGGTTAAGAGCTTTAGGGGGCGGGTTAGAGAGGGTTAGGGTGCGGGTTAGAGGGTTAAAGAGGGTTAAGGGGCGGGTTAGAGGGTTAGGGGGCGGGTTAGAGGGTTAGGGGGAGGGTTAGAGAGTTAGGGTGCGGGTTAGAGAGGTAGGGGGCGGGTTAGAGGTTTAGGGGGCGGGTTCGAGGGTTAATGAGGGTTAGGGGGCGGGTTAGAGGGTTAGTGGGCGGGTTAGAGTGTTAGGGGGCGGGTTAGAGGGTTAAAGAGGGTTAGGGGGCGGGTTAGAGTGTTAGGGGGCGGGTTAGAAGGTTAAAGAGGGTTAGGGGGCGGGTTAGAGTGTTAGGGGGCGGGTTAGAGGTTAGGGGGTTAGGGTTAAGAGGTTAGGGGCTGTTAGAGGTTAGGGCGGTTAGAGTGTTAAGAGGTTAGGGGCGGGTTAGGGTTAGGGCGGGTTAGGTTAAGAGGTTAGGGGCGGGTTAGAGGGTTAGGGGCGGTGGGGTTAGAGGGTTAGGGGCGTGTTAGAGTGTTAGGGCGGGTTAGTGAGGGTTTAGAGTGTTAGGGGGAGGGTTAGGGTTAGGGGCGGTTAGGTGTTAGGGGCGGGTTAGAGGTTAAAGGGTTAGGGCGGGTTAGAGGTTGGGGCGGTTAGGGTTAAGAGGTTAGGGGCGAGTTAGGGTTAGGGGCGGTTAGAGGTTAAAGAGGGTTAGGGATCTGGTTAGAGGTTTAGGGGGCGAGTTAGAGGGTTAAAGAGGGTTAGGGGGCCGGTTAGAGTGTTAGGGGTCGGATTAGAGGGTTAAAGAGGGTTAGTGGGCTGGTTAGAGGGTTAGGGGGCGGGTTAGAGTGTTAAAGAGGGTTAGGGTGCGGGTTAGAGGTTTAGGGGGCGGTTTAGAGTGTTAAAGAGGGTCAGGGGGCGGGTTAGAGGGTTAGGGGGCCGGTTAGAGGGTTAAAGAGCGTTAGGGGGCGGGTTAGAGGATTAGGGGGCGGGTTTGAGGGTTAAAGAGGGTTAGGAAGCGGGTTAGAGGGTTAGGGGGTGGGTTTTAGCGTTAAAGAGCGTTAGGGGGCGGGTTAGAGGGCTAGGGGGCGGGTTAGAGTGTTAAAGAGGGTTAGGTGGAGGGTTAGAGGGTTAGGGGGCGGGTTAGAGGGTTAAAGAGGGTTAGGGGGCGGGTTTGAGGGTTAGGTGGCGGGTTAGAGGGTTAGGGGGCCGGTTTGAGGTTAAAGAGGGTTAGGGGGCGGGTAGAGGGTTAGGGGGCGGGTTAGAGGGTTAAAGAGGTTTAGGGTGTGGGTTAGAGGGTTATGGGGCGGGTTATAGTGTTAAAGAGGGTTAGGGGGCGGGTTAGAGAGTTAGGGGGCGGGTTAGAGGTTTAGGGGGCGGGTTAGTGGGTCAAAGAGTGTTAGGGCGCGGGTTAGAATGTTAGGGGGCCGGTTAGAGGGTTAGGGGGCGGGTTAGAGTGTTAAAGAGCGTTAGGGGGAGGGTTAGAGTGTTAAAGAGCGTTAGGGGGCGGGTTAGAGGGTTAGGGGGTGGGTTAGAGGGTTAGGGGGCGTGTTCGAGGTTTAGGGGGCGGGTTAGAGGGTTAAAGAGGGTTAGGGGGCCCGTTACAGGGTTAGGGGGCGGGTTAGAGGGTTAGGGGGCGGGTTAGAGTGTTAAAGAGGGTTAGGGGGCGGGTTACAGGGCTAGGGGGCGAGTTAGAGGGTTAGGGGGTGGGTTAGAGTGTTAAAGAGGCATAGGGGGCGGGTTAATAGGTTGTGGGCGGGTTAGAGTGTTAAGGGGCGGGTTAGAGGGTTAGGAGGCAGGATAGAGGTTTAGGGGGCGGGTTAGAGGGTTAAAGAGGGTTAGGGGGCGGGTTAGAGTGTTAGGGGGCGGGTTAGAGGTTTAGGAGGTGGGTTAGAGGGTTAAAGAGAGTTAGGGGGCGGGTTAGAGGGTTAGGGGGCGGGTTAGAGTTTTAGGAGGCGGGTTAGAGGGTTAAAGAGGGTTAGGGGGCGGGTTAGAAGGTTAGGGGGTGGGTTAGAGTGTTAAAGAGGGTTAGGGGGCGGGTTAGAGTTTTAGAGGGCGGATAAGAGGGTTAAAGAGGGTTAGGTGGCGGGTTAGAGGGTTAGGGGGAGGGTTAGAGGGTTAAAGAGGTTTAGGGGGCGGGTTAGAGGGTTAAAGAGGGTTAGGGGGCGGGTTAGAGGGTTAGTGTGTGGGTTAGAGCGTTAAAGAGGGTTAGGGGGCGGGTTAGAGGGCTAGGGGGCGGGTTAGAGGGTTAAAGAGTGTTAGGTGGCGGGTTAGAGGGTTAGGGGGCGGGTTAGAGTGTTAAAAAGCGTTAGGGGGCGGGTTAGAGGTTTAGGGGGCGGGTTAGAGTGTTAAAAAGCGTTAGGGGGCGGGTTAGAGGGTTAGGGGGCGGGTTAGAGGTTTAGGGGGCGGGTTAGAGATTTAGAAGGCGGGTTAGAGTGTTATGGGGGAGGTTAGAGTGGCCCAGGCCTCATCACTGCAACCATTTGAGGAGTGAACCACCAGATGGAAGATCTGTCTCTCCCTGTGTTTGTAACTCTTTCAAATAAATAGACAAATCTTTAAATTTATATATGTATATCGTTTATCTTTTTGTTTCCTTTGCTATTGTTCCATGCATTTTTTAGGCATTTAATTTTTCCTGTTTGTGAATTCTCTGTTTATGTCCCAATACCAGTTCATATTATAGTATTTTTCTTTGAATTTGTATCTGTTGTTTCTTTATTAAGGACTTCAAGCTTTGCAATAACAAAATAGTTTAATTCAGAGATTAATATTTTTATTTTATAGTAAAGAACATATTTGAAACAATGAGCTCTCCAAAGCTCTCAAACGTAGAGAAAATAAGGAAACTGTGT